GATCGGGCCCTCAATCAGGCGCTCGGGAATGTGACTCGCAGTCGCAGAGGAAGACGACCAGAAGCTGTTGTCGGCAGAGGTCGTTTGTTCCCGCTGGCGCTGTCGTATGCTATGTACGCGGCCGCGATGGTGTCATGTCCTCGCAGTCGCAGGCGCACGCATTTCTCGGGACGACGCGGTCGGCGGGTTATTGTGGCGCGGCGAGGCGAGGTGCGGTGGAGGGGCTCCGCATGGATGGGCGAGCGGTGGGGGTGAAGATGATGGCGAGGTCGCCGTAGTCGGGTATTGAGTGTCAGGAGCCAGGAGCCAGGAACCAGGAGTCTTGAGTCTTGTTTGTCAGGCGAGGGAGAAATGTGTGATAGTTTGACGGAGGGAGGATGATGTTGCAATTTTGAAGGACCATCCTCACCTCACCTTGCCTACCTACCTACCTACCTACTTACCTCACCTAAGGTGCCTTGCCCGGGCACTGGCACTGGTGCCGATTGCAGGTGCATGCTCCACGGGCTCCTCCTGCCTCTGCTCCAATGCGACGCTGTAGCATGCGTCCAACGGAGGCAGGCGCATTCTGCAGTGCCTTGGTCTCTGCTCTCCCTCGTGCTTGGCTGGCCGAATGCGAAGCTTTGGGTCCACTTGCCGCGCTCGAGGAATTGGAGACGGGCCGGTACGTACCTCTACCTACCTACCTACCTACTCACCTTACTTGATTTACCTACCTACTCTATCTACCAACCTAGGTACCTTGCCTACCAACCTAAGGTGCCTAAATACCTGCCGAGGTGTCTCGAGATTGACCTCTGAAGGCGGATCGCGAGAATGATTGCGTGTCTCTTGAGGCCATGTCCGACTCACTCGCTCATCTCGCCGTCCGTCTCGTCACAGTCTGGCCAGCGCTGCAGTCAGCGTGTCCACGACAAGAGGGCAGAGCACACGATAAGACAGCGGCCCGCACTGTCAGGGGCACAGACGCTCCCTGGAATTCGGTAGCTTGGCGGTAGAGGCGCGCGCGCGCGGGCGCCCAGGAACTCAAAGTGACCTCATCCAACTCTGAAGCAGGAAGCAAGACATCGACCTTGGTTTGCCGACCCATGAAGAGGCGGCTTTGCATGGAGCCTGCACTGTACCATGCCCATCGTGAGGTGAGGTACCTAGGTACTCAACGGTTTCGTCGAGTCTCGCCCTTGGCGGAGTCCCCCATTTTTCGTACCGGAGGTCCGCACTGTATTCTCTGGCCACAACAAGCGAGACAGCGCTCACAATCTCGCGTGCGCGGGCGCCGTGTCTGGTATCTGGGCACATCTGCTGCCGCTTCGTTGCGTGCAACGCTCTCTCAAAAATCGATCCGTCCCAGTGAATCAGGCCCCCCGCAAGCATGCTGGCACGTCGGAAGCGAAGCCATCGTCTTGCCTCTTTTTTTTTCCCCTACCTCCGGTTGACAGGGCAGGGTTTTTTTTTTTTCGACACCCTGGCTGCAAAATGGGGCCACCGACCAAGGTTTCGCCCAAAGTAGACAGTGTGGTGGTGGTCCCTTGGGTTTAATGCTCCTGTCCTCCTCGCCTTGCTGGTGTCGGTATCCCTTGAGCTCCCTCAAGCCGAGCCAGCCTGGGATGAAAGAAATTAGATTACTTCTTCGTCTCTGACAACGGCTTCTTTTTTTCGTCTCATTTCACGCTAGGAACACCCGAGGGCCCATGCCCCCAACAAAGACCAGACCAGACGAATCCGCAACAAAGACAGGCCGTTGACACGTCGCGCCCTGACACAGGGACGCCGCGACTGCCATCTCTGGCAGCTGCCGGTCTTGTGCTGACTGACCCGTCAGATCGCTGCACAGCAATGAGTGCCATGATGCTATTCATAGCGTTAGGGAGCGCCGCTCACTTGGAGACCTGTGCACCAGTTGCAAAGGCCGTCCTGGCGTCGCGCTCTACGAGCCAATTGTCCGAAGTTCAAGCATCGTGATCAGACGGGGGCGCGTTGCTTGACTCGCTTCATCAGTTCGCTACCCAAGGTAAGGTAGTCACAGTCGCTCAGCTGTGCTCAGTAGTGCTAGCTCAGCCGACCCATAAGGAAGGGCAGAATGAAGGGCGAGAAGAGATGGAGGTACCAGAGCCATCATCGCAAACCCCCTGCCATGACGACGCAAAATGAAGATAGGTCAAGGCTAGTGCTCGAAGCCACACCAAGCCCGACGCCCTCGATCCCCTCCTCGACTCACGCGCTCGCAAGGTCAGAAGTATACAGTACTTGCGGGATGCTTCGATAAGGTTGCATCACACGAAACTGAGTTACTACTGAAAGGCCAAGGCAAGGATTGGATTTCTGAAAGTCTAAGAAAATGTTTCTCAAGTCGCTCTAGGAGACGTCTTCGTTACCTAACGTAATTTAGGTTCTTTGTACTTTAATTCATAGGTCAGACTAGTTAGTATGCCAGAAAGCCAAAGCAAGAAAAGCACAAAGTTGTGCAAAGCTGTCGAAATTCGTCTGTCGAAATCCGCCCATGTCATTTGCCCACTGCTGAGCCTCATCTCCACGCCCTCGCACATCCCCCTTCCCCGAAGTCTCTTTTCCCCACGGGTGCTATGGCGAATCTTGTACATAACGAACGATCTGTGCTGTGCCTTATGATGGTGCCAAGGCGTTTAGGGGCGCCCAATTGGCACTTGGCGTCTCCTTCTTTCCTCGTGTCCCCCCAGAAGGCCCATTGCGTGCCCCAGTGAACAAACAGGCGCGGCGATGCCCCGTGGCTTAGCGTTGTTGTGGGAAGACACAATGCTGTGAAGCAGGGGTCATATCGCCCGGATTGCTGGGGCGCGTGCTGGGGCTCGTGCTGGGGTCCTCTCGCATTCGTACCCAGTACCTCAATCTCGAACCCACATCACCCAACGAACCCTCTTGCTCAGCCCCAGTAGAACGTAACCCCTGACCCAGATTCCTAGGTAGGCAAGGAATTGCTGAGAGGTAGGTCAATAGGTGGATGGATGGACCTAGGCTACTCCTCTGTACGTGTACCTGCATAGAGGAGGGGTTTCAATTCAAATCCAAGTACTTTTAGGTCGCCTCGTCTGGTCTCAATGACCTTCTCCCCCCCCCTCAAAGGCCATCTTTGACTGCCCTTTCCTCAGCCGCGGCTCGCATCCTCAAACCACCAACCCAGCTCTCTCGACATACCTTGGTACTTGGTTAGCCTTCTCCTCAAACAACCTCCTCGTCTCCGTCCTCGTCATCTTGGGCCCAAGACGCCATCATGGCCAGCCTCAACGACTCAACCGTGGCCTCGGCCCTTGGTCTGCCCATTCACCCCTTCCACCCCCTCGATGCCATCGTCAATGACTACGTCGAGAACACCATGTCCACCCTGACCATTCTCACCATCTTCGCATCGACCTGCGTCGCCATTCTCCTGCCCACGCTCCTGCTCATTCGTCGCCTGCGGCCGAACCTGTCCACGGGCGACGTCTCCACGGCCATGTGGTTCATCGTCTCAGGCTCGATCCACCTCGGCCTCGAAGGTATGTGAAGCCCCTAACCCTCTTCATGACGCCTCACTCGTGTGAGTTCACTCTTCTCACTGCCCACCTCCATCGATGTAGGTTACTTCTCCATCCACTCGGCCCGCATGGGTCCCAGCCTCACCGTCCTCGGCCAGCTATGGAAGGAGTACGCCCTGTCCGACTCGCGCTACCTGACGCAGGACTCGTTCGTCGTCTGCATGGAGACGGTCACGGCGTTCGTCTGGGGCCCCATGTGCTTCCTCTGCGCCGCCGCCATCGTCCTCCGCCACCCGGCCCGCCACAGCCTGCAGGGCATCATCAGCCTCGGCCAGCTCTACGGCGTCGTCCTCTACTACGCCACCTTTGAGTACGACAATGTCGTGTGGGGCCGCGACTACTCCCGCCCCGAGAACTACTACTACTGGGGCTACTACGTCTTCCTCAACGCTTTTTGGTTCTTCATCCCCCTGACTCTCATCCTGCGCAGCGCCGTCGCCTCGACAAGGGCTATTGCTACCGTGCAGAGGCTGGAGGCTAAAGCTGGGAAGAAGAACTGAGGCCTGAGGCTTGCTGAGCGTGGCCCCACGTAGCCTGAGCGAGTAGACGCTCTTGGCCAGGGGGGGATAGAGACGCCCGCGTGACAGTATTTTATGGAGAGTCGTTTGCCTTGGACATAGTATACCAGTGCCTTGTGTGGCGTGTTGCTAGAGGGTCTCTCACATGAGTGGCTAGAGATAGACGGTCAATAGATGGATGAATCCGGCCCTGGCTGGCGCTCTCGTTGTCTGGCTACATCTGAGAATCCATACGCGGTGTGACGAAATACTGTGATTCGATCGTTGAGCATATTGAGGCTATGGTGCGTAGGCGTGCTCGTTGTGAGCCCGACTTGAAATTCACAACGAGTATGGGTCATGTTGCCACTGTAGTCCCGTAGCATTTCTGCACAGTACAAGTTTCATCGAACATTGATGCCGGCCCTGGCCAGGAGGCTCGTTCTGCAGCGCATTTTTGGCTCAGCCCTGCAGCATCTCAACTCTCTTGTCGGGCTCAAGGCAACGGCTCGGCACGAGCCGGTCTGCAGGGTTCCTGAGCCATCGGACAGACCGGCTGAAAGTTTGGTTGACGTTCTGAAACTCAACATAATGGCAGCAAACCGCCGCGCCGAACGAATCATTTCTAGGTGCTAGCATGAGTTGCGAGCAGCTATACAGAAATCTTGCTTCAGCACGACTTTATTACTGAATTGCACATTAGGGCTGGATCAAACACTCCGTTGGGATCCATGTATTTAGGCTCCCTGATTAGGAGAGTATCGGAGAAAGGTGTGGCTCAGAAGGTTTAAGCCTTCCAAGGTTCGATCTTCAGGGTTCGTATCAACATTTTCAAGTTAATAAATAGAGTATCGTGCACTGGATGCCTGCTCTGCACCTTTGGGGTCTTTCCCGTATCTCATCCATCATCAACATCAGCATCGCGAGATTCCACTGCTGTGCAAACCGTCGTCTGAACCTTTGCTCTGTGGTTTCGATCTGTACACTCGATACCGTCTCATCGAATTATAAGTCATGACGAATAGATCTAACGTATGTCAATTGACCATGACCATCTTGTCCCAAAATAACACGGATAGGCGAAGCGAAAAAAGGAAGCAGCCGGGCCAGGTACACCCCGGAAAGAAGCCGGCCCCGTGCAAGACGGCGACTTCCTACCCCCCTCTTTCCAGTACCAAGCTTTCCGTCTCCCCTCCAGTATCCCCGGCAACAGCACTCGGGCAACGCCTTCGAGACGCCTGCCCTCGACTCCCGTAGCACCCCCGTTCAGCCCCAGCAGCGCGACGACCCCCGTGAGTTCGGTAGCTACACCAAGCGTAGCATCCGAGGTCGGAGTCACGCCCGACGCCTTCGCGACCCCGAGTACAGCATCCAAATACGAAGGCGACAGTCTCACAACCTCGGTGGCCGGCGTGGCAAGACCGGTCATCGTCTCTTCGTCGATGTACCTCGACCCACCAAGTCTCGTCCCCGGTCTCGGTCGCGACAAGGCTCGATCACCGCGCCTCCACGGCGCTGGTGCCGGTGACGGAGCTTCTGATGAACATCTCCGTCCTCGCAGCACGGCAGCGGCGCCCACTCCGTCTCTGCGTCGCTGTTCCTCGACAGTCTGCACAGTCGAGAACTGCGCTTCCCCTCACAGGTCCGAGCAGCTTGCTTCACGCAATCCGAGCGCCAAAGGTCGAACAGCATCAGCAGATTCAGACGACAAGGACAAAACCCAGGAGGAGAATCCCCCCCCTCGGCGCCTCTATTCGGGTGCACATGCAGAGGAGAGAACTGGTGGGTCCCTGTAAGAATGTGACTTAACTTGTGTGTGCAGGTGCGAGGACAGTCTCGGTCATATCGACACTGACGAAAAGCCTGAGGAAGCTGGGGACGCAAAGGAGCGCCGTGAGATACTTGTCGCGCCTTTTCGGCGCAGGGGATCGAGTGTGTCTTCGTCTTCCAAGCCCGTAACACTGGAGCGCCGCTACAGTGCTGTCAGGGTTATGGAAGATCTGCTCCTCGCCTCGTTCGATGCGGCGGCTGGGCTAGGGTCTCGGCTTTGCTAAATCCGTCGGCTGCGGAAGATGCGGAAGATAACAAGCCTGACGAATGTGTATGATGACTATAAGATCGAACCAAAGGTAACAGTCATAGCCGCAGAATATTGAGGTGAACAGCTAGTACAATTGATGGAGAGCTGAACTATGGACCTTAGGAACCGCAAAAGCAAGCTATGATCATTCAGCTTTAGTAGTCCCAAATCGATAGAAAAGCTGCTATAAACAAGGCTAGGTCTAGAAAGAAAAAAAGAAGGCTCAAAGTGGGTATCATCGGATGCAAACTTTTAATTTCAACTCAGGCAGCGGCACCTGCTTCCTTCGCCTTCTTCGCATTCAACTTCTCCCACCGACTCAGCGAGCTCGTCAGCAGAGCAAGCCCCGTAGCACCAATAGCGATCGCAATGGCGACCTTGATTCCAGCCATGTACGCATCCAAGATACCGGGAATCTCCTCAGTCGAAAAGACTCGTCGAATTTCTGTGGCGCCGGTTGCCACGACAGTTGCAGGGTCGACGTTGGGTGCGGTGTTCGGCAAAGATCGCAGCATCGTGTTGACAAAGGCGCATTGTCCAGCGGAGACAAACGAAGAACCCCCGAGATTCATGAAGACTAGTCCGTTAATTCTTGTAGCCGCTAAAATTCTCAAGGGCAACTTACAAAGAACCATGGCTGTCACAGTCGAGACGTCGGTAGGGTCGGCATAGCTCTGGGCAACGATAATGGGGACCTGGTAGGCGATACCCCAGCCAATGCCGCCAAACAGCTGGTACCCAATCCACTTGCCCGTGTCTGTGTCCGTCTCAAAGGTGTACAGAAGACCGGTCGCGATGACAGTGATAGCGGCGCCAACAAGCTTGAGTGGGGTAGCGATGCCCGTGCGAGTTATGAAGAAGCCGGAAATGATCATGGAGAGGGTGACTCCAATAATCAATGGCAGATTCCTGACACCCGACATGGTTGGAGTAACACCATTGACGCTCTGGAAATAGATAGGCAGGTAGTAGATGATGAGGAAGTACGATCCGGAGAAGAAGAAGGTGTAGGCACAGCTGACACCGACTGGGCGAACCTTTAACAGGCGCGGGACGAGCATGGCGCGCTCGCCTTGGAAGCATTCCCACGCGGCGAATGCCACATACAGAAGAACAAACCCGACGAGCAGACCGATTACCGTGCTGCTGTTCCAAGCCTCGGTCTGTCCAGCATACTGCAGACACAGAATGTAGCAGATGATGGCGGCCATGACCAGAGCTACACCAATGGGATCCATCTGCAGCATCTTTTCGCGCCAGGTAGCTTCGACAGGCCTAGCAGCGGCGGGGGCGTGGAAGAAGAACACAACGATGAGAACCGAGACTGCGCCGATGGGGAGATTCATGTAGAAGCACCAGCGCCAGGTCGCGTGATCGGAGAACAGGCCACCGAGAAGAGGACCAAGCACAGAAGCAACACCGTAGGACACACCGACGAAGCCGGTGTACATGGCGCGCTTTTCTGGTGGCGCGGCAAACGCGATGATGGTGTAGGCGCCGGTACCGAGACCAGCGGCACCGAGACCGGCTATGGCGCGGCCAATGATGAGGGCGGTTGAGGTGGGAGCGGCACCACAAACGAGGCTGCCAAGCTCAAAGACGAAGACAGCAGCAAGGAATGTCCACTTGAGAGGGAAGTACTTGTAGGCTTTGCCCCACGAAGACTGAAAACCGCCGTTGGCCATGAAGAAGGCGGAACCGTACCAGGAGACATCTTCAATGCCGCCAAATTCGTCTGTGATCTTGGGGATGGCGGTAGCGACGATGGTCTAGAGGATCAGCTTTTCTCATCGGCAGCGATAGATGAGAACTTCCTACCATATCGAGAGAGGCAAGGAAAATGGCGAGAATGAGGGCCACGACTATGAAGACGAGGTTGATGCCAGATGGATACTCGTCCGACTCTGGGGTTGTATTAGCCGTTGACGACTCAACGATGCCGTCGGGTTTCGTGTCCAGTTCTGTCGAGCGCCGAGGTGCGAAGCTGGAATCCTTCTCCTGATGCATTTCGATTGACCTCTTATTCAGGGAATTGGAAGAGACGGAAGGTGTCTGTGAATGCACCATGGTCGGTGCTGCTGATTTGTCAAAGGCGTCAGGATCGTAATCGAGGCGCTGAGTGTGGTCTCGAGCGTCCATATTGCGTGCTGGACGCCTTGTGCGAGTAATTGCTATTGGAAGCTGTTGGAAGCTTCTTGTAGGAGGCCCATTGCAATCAGGGGAATCTGGGTTCTCTTAAGTACAAGACGATATATCTCATTCTACTCCCAAGGCAGTAGCATAAAAATAACACTGCAAGGTGCCTGCCGTATGGTTGCTCTCAAGGGAGGTTTGGCTCGAGCGTAGACATTGTGAGACGCTAACCCGGATATGGCCAGACCAAGTGGTCTTGGCCGAGCTATGGAGTGGTTGATTGGCTGCATCGGACTGTGTCTTCGATGAGCCATCATGACGGCTCCACAAAACGTGATCTACCCAAGCCACCGCAGCACGGATGGCGAATGAGTCTCCCTCACTGGACGCTCAACTGTCGACTCATCAACTCACGCAAAATCACCAGCTCCTCATCGCCAGATGCACATTGCCAGTTTCAAGAACGAGGAGACGCACGAACCCCAGCGAGGAATGGTGCATTCAAAGTATACCCACATGATGAATACACTTACAACCAATGTGGTGTCCATTCAGCATTTGCCCTTCGATCTTCCACAGCCTTACGACAATAGCACGAGCGGCCTAGTCTAGTGGCCACTTCTCGTTTGAGGCTCGGGTGGTGCTATTGACCTGGGAGCTGTTCTGTAGCTGTCTGTAGCCGTCTGTAGCTGTCATCAACCCCCGCGTTGACACAATTTTGCGTGAAGGTTGGCCCACTTACCGAACGACGCATCAATCGTACGATATTCGCATGGTCCATTTCCCTTCACGGACATGACAACCCAATTGATTGGACAGCACCTGCTGGTACCATCTCTTAGTTGGGTGATCTCCAGGTCCCTTACAGCATTGTTCCAGATGTTGAATATCTCGTCTTGTTGGAAACATAAGTAGAGATATTAGGCCTGCTTGATGTGTTGGAGAGCATCGCCCTGCTGTCACGACAGGTCCGCACAGGCCATCAAGGAAAAGAGACAAGCTACACTGCCTACTCATGTGATGTTCACAGTACGAAAACCGAGACAGGTCCGCCCTCCGGTCATCGGCGAGGCTGTCCCCGCTGCTGCCACTCCATTGCTGGATTCAGTAATGAGCAATGCCATGCCCGAGAAAGGGGACAGATGTTGGGTTCGGTACAAAAAAGACGCGGCGGGTCTGGTCGGCAGACTTTTCCCAGGTACAGGTGCGCCTCGCAGTCAAATGCCGAGGATAGGCGGTGGGCAGTCTCTCTCAACATGGGTTCGTGTACTCCTTGGCCACGCCGTGAGAAGAAGGAACACTTTGATGCCAATCATCCCAAGGACGCATCACAATGTTGGTCAGGCCAGCGTCAATGAGGCGCAGACAAGCACTTGGCTGTGCTTGGCTTGTTTGACAGCCGTGTCGATGTTCCAAAACATTTGTCCGAGGGGGCCGTCGTCTTGCGTGACGTGCGCGCGCGCGCCGCAATGGTAAAGTAGACGATCTTGGAATTGACGGGTTCGTATGGAACATCCCCACCGTTGGCCGTTTTTCTCGCTCGGCCCTCTTATCAGCGCGAGGTAAGGTACATGTAGGTGTGTGCCTTGTTAGCTTGCCTAGTGGTGTGGTGGGACGCCGATGATGGCGGCCTTTGTTTCGGCACAGATGTAGCGAGCCCTGGGAGTCAAGTGCCTCGACATGTGAGTCAATGAACTCTCTTGCCATGCTCTCGTCCCGGGGCAAGTCAGAAGAGGGGTCTTTTTATGAGGCAGGGAAAGAGGGGTTGCGCCTTGTTCTTGCAAAATTCTGTTTTTGATCGATGCTTTCCATGAACAGAGGACAAGTGCGCGGGGGTGGCAGCGAGAGCAAGTGCAGGTGGGGGGAAGAGGCATCAGAAGCAAGAGCGCTGGAGCTGGTGGTCATGGCGTTTGCTCACAGAATCGAGTGCCGGAAATATCGGCCCCTGCACTGCCCCTCCACTACTGGTACACACCATCTTGGTGGCACGCCAATTTCGCGTGCCAGCTGTTAAGGTCGACCTCTTGTGGCCGGCAATGAATCACGTACCGGGGGGGGGGGGGCGATGACAGGGCAAGACAAGACAAGACAAGAGCTATCCTGACGCTGTGACGTGGGTGAAGCCAGCCGCGTCTCAACAAATCACGACAGCTCCTCCTCCACCCGTAGCTGCTGCCGACGCCGACGCCAACGCCGACGCAAGACGCAAGACGCAAAGACGCAAAAGAGCTCAATCGCTCACTCGCCCAGCTCAGCTCGCACAGCTTCTTCTCTCCCACTTCGCGCCGCCCTCAATTGGCTCTCGGTCGGTCCTCCCTGCGCGATTTCCCCCTTGGCACGTCACTTGGTTGTACCCCCCCCATATCACCCAACCCACCCTAAAACGTCCCTTCCCAGCACACCACCATGTTTAAAGCACGAACGAACCCCTCGTCCCTGCGACATCTGACTGCTCGCCTGCTCCTCCAACCTTCATCATCTTTGTCTGCTTCGGCTCCATTTCCCCCTCTGTCAGCATCGACGGCTGTGACCCTGCCCCAGCGTGCCATACTTTCTCGCTTCTGCAGCTCCCACTCCAACTCCAACTCCAACTCCAACTCCAAGCAAGACAACCCACCGGCGGCCAGCAACAGCAACAACACCACACTCTCCTCCAAACCTAACACATATTTTTCCTACACCGACGCGCAGCCGCCCAAAATGGCCGAGCAGGACATCACCAAGTATCTCACCCAGACCCATGACCGCCTCTTCGAGCACAACAAGATCTGGGCCGCCGAGCAGGCCAAGAAGGACCCCGAGTTCTTCACCAAGCTCTCCGCCGGTCAGACGCCCGAATACCTCTGGATCGGCTGTGCCGACTCGCGCATCCCCGCCGAGCAGATCACGGGCCTGCAGCCCGGCGAGGCCTTCATCCACCGCAACATTGCCAACCTCGTCTGCAACATTGACCTCAACGTCATGAGCGTCATCAACTACGCCGTCCGCCACCTGCACGTCAAGCACATTATCGTCTGCGGCCACTACGGCTGCGGCGGCGTCAAGGCCGCCATGACCCCCAAGGACCTCGGCATCCTGAACCCCTGGCTGCGAAACATCCGCGACGTCTACCGCCTGCATGAGAACGAGCTCGACCAGATCAAGGACGAGTCCAAGCGCTACGACCGCCTCGTCGAGCTCAACGTTGTCGAGCAGTGCCGCAACGTCATCAAGAGCGCTGCCGTCCAGCAGTCCTACAAGGAGAACCAGTACCCCATCGTCCACGGCTGGGTCTTTGGCTTCCAGGATGGCCTGCTGCACGACCTCAAGATTGACTTTGAGTCGGTGCTCCACGACATTCAGAAGATCTACAACCTCAACGATTAATCGATGTCTCGTGAGCTAGATGGGGAGTGCCGTAGCGATTGACTGGTAACGAGACGGGTCGGCGAATGGAGACATGCAGCTTGTGAGCTTGGCCGGCGTTGTATTGGGGTGGGCACGCCTGGCCCAAGGGCCGTGGGGTTGGGTGGGTGAGCTCAGGCGAAGACGTGGTGATTTGGCGTTTGGTGTGGTGACTGGCTAACAAGATGAGAGGGTTTTCTTTTTCTTTTTTGGGTTGAGCAAGGGTTTGGTGATCTGGGTGTGGTCGAGTACATCTCGACCTGTGTTCAGTTGACATGGCGGAGAAAAGCCGCTGCGATAGGTTTTCAATTCATCACGTATTCTACACCACCCCGCTCGACTTGCATCGACGGCGATACACAAAACAGATGAAAAACGACGACGCATGACTTGGCACCCTTTCAGGATTCAGATCAATGAGCTCGACCTCAATTAGATCCGTTCATGAACAATCCGATAGGGCCGTATCGCCAATCCGATCTGCAGTCAACGCACCCCCCAGAACCCGCACGTACCATCTGTGGTGGTTGACAGCATCCATGTTCGACTGTGATCACCTAGTGTCGATTTCTCCAACTATTGTCCGGACATCGTCGCAGCACCGGCAGCGCGCCGCGCGAATGTTGATGTCATTTCTTTCCAGCCTCTAGATTGACCTCGTCGTACGACGGCGGGTGTTCCCCTCAATTCGAGTGCGACCTTCTCAAAAGGTCTTCCAGGGCCACCAACAGCCAATGCTCACCAGTAGCATTAGGCCGCTAGATCCCTATCCAGCAGGTGGCATGCGATCAACGGCTATCGGGTGGGTTAGCAGCATGGGGCCTCTCCGCCGCCGATCCTCCGACGCTGGGTCGACGACAGACATCCGCGACGTACCTGCGAGTTCATGCAGCAACGCAGCGTTCCGCACATCGAGAGAGGGTGGTCCCGCGTAGACTGCTGCGTTGTGTTCACAGACGGCAGGTCGGTAG